AGGCCACCTCCCCCAGCTCTGGGTCTGGATCCGGGTCTGGGTCGGGATCGGGAAAGGGCCCAGACATGCAGTCCAGGTGAGCCACTTTAAAGTAAACATATTCCCATATCAAAACACATACCTGGCCACAACACTACCACTAATGATCCCTGTGAGTCACCGTTTGACTCTTCGGGCTGACAGCTGATTGGCCGAGTGAGGGGGGGGCCTCTCTTTTTCACATCTTTACTTCAGCTTTTTCAGACATGTGTGAAAGTGGACAATGATACATGCATGTCACTAGTGCTGATTCTAAAAGCTTGGCCTGGATAGAACCAGGACCAGTAGAGCAGAGTAGAGGTGAGGCTCTCTCTCTCTCTTTCTCTCTCTTTGGTCTCTCTTTAGGCTCTCTCTCTCTCTATTGTCTCTTTGGTCTCTACTCTGGTCTCTCCCTGGTCTCTCTCTGATCTTTCTCTTGTCTCTCTCTAATCTCTCTCTATTCTCTCTCTAATCTCTCTCTGGTCTCTCTCTCTCTTTGGTCTCTCTCTCTTGTCCCTGTCTTGTCCCTCTCTGGTCTCTTTCTGATCTTTCGCTCTGGTCTCTCTCTCTCTCTGGTCTCTCTCTGGTCTCTCTGGTATCTCTTCTCTCTCTCTGGTCTCTCTCTGGTCTCTCTCTCTCTCTGGTCTCTCTCTGGTCACTCTCTGGTATCTCTTCTCTCTCTCTTGTCTCTCTCTGGTCTATCTCTGGTCTCTCTCTGGTCTCTCTCTCTCTCTGGTCTCTCTCTGGTCACTCTCTGGTCTCTCTGGTATCTCTACTCTCTCTTTTGTCTCTCTCTGGTCTATCTCTGATCTCTCTCTGATCTCTCTCTGGTCACTCTCTGGTCCCTCTGGTCTCTCTCTGTTTAAAAGCATTACAATAGTGTTTTCTGCTTCTGACTCGTGAATGGCCGGTTCTGCATTCTCTCTCCACAAACACATTAGCAGCGCTTCTGCCTCATGTGCTTTAACGACGTCTCCGCTGGATCTCGTCCACTTGTGCCGGACGCAAACAGGAAGCGTGAGATATGGCAGATCGTCAGCGTTGGAAGCCTCCGCGGCCACAGACATGCTTCTGATTAGTCCAGCGGAGCCATAAAAACGGGACCAAACTCCATAGGAACAACACACAGCACTTTACGGGAGATTAAAGTAGCTATATGTAAGATTTTCTTGTCAAGTCATCAGGGCCCTAATCTGTCAAAAGGCATAAATAAAACATGGTCTTTTCTAATTATTCTTAACCTGATAACAGGA